GTGTTGAACGTGGGGGGTACCCGCTACTCTTTCGCTCGGGAGGTGCTGAAGGACTTTCCCCTCCGGCGGGTGAGCCGCCTGCACGGCTGCCTGTCAGAGCAGGACGTGCTGGAGGTGTGTGACGACTACGACCGCGAGCGGAACGAGTACTTCTTCGACCGGCACTCCGAAGCCTTCGGCTTTATCTTGCTCTACGTGCGCTACGGCCACCTGCGCTTCGTGCCCCACATGTGTGAACTCTCCTTCTACAACGAGATGATCTACTGGGGCCTGGAGGGATCCCACCTGGACTACTGCTGCCAGCGCCGGCTGGACGATCGCATGTCCGACACCTATACCTTCTACTCCGCAGAAGACCTCCGGGCGGAGCCCTCTGGAGGCGGCAGCGGCAGCAGCAAAAGCAGCGACCACCCGCCGCCGCCGCCGCCTGAGGGCCGGGGCGGAGAAGCGGCCCCGGGTAGCGGTGGTGCAGCGGCCCCATCTGGCGCCGGGGAGAAGAAATGGCTGGAAAGGATGAGGAGAACTTTCGAGGAGCCCACCTCGTCAGTGGCCGCTCAGATCCTGGCCACTGTCTCCATCCTGTTTGTCATCGTCTCCATGGTGGTGCTGTGCGCCAGCACCATGCCGGAGTGGCGAACAGCTGAGAACCGAAGCCTGGAGGAGCAGAGCAGGTACACAGCAGACTCAATCAGGGAGCCTTCAGGGTAGGATGAAGTGATTAATATTTCCCCCATCAACGGTGTCACCTATGTCCCATCTGGTCTCTGTGTATTCCTCTGCCAGCATCAGTTTGCCACACTGGAGACCCCAACTCATTACACATCCCATTTGGCAAGGGGTAGGCTTGGTTTTAAAAACCAAATGACTCTTAAAACCAGGCCAATAACTTCTAGGTGTCTCTGTGTTACCTACACAACTTATAGATGGGTTCAGCTTTCTGGGAATTTATTTTTATTTTTTATTTATTATTAAATTTGTAATAAGATTAAATTCATTGGGTTTACTTCAGACTACTAGAAACAAAATTTCACTGTGTGAGTCTTGAACTGTCTTCACTTGGGTTGCCAGTTTGAATATTTAAAAGCTGCAGGATTTAGTGTAAAATTTCCTTGAGCTCCAATGAAGCTGATATAATAATGCTGAAATCAATCAGTCAGCCAAGTTTTCTGGACTGTAGTGGCTGCTTTGGAACAAATAGCCTTTTGGTAGCATGAACAAATGTGTTGTCCCTTTCATTGAATGCATTCTCTCCTTCCCCAGAGAAAAGTCTATTAGGGTTGTCTTATACAGAGGCTTCCAAATGCTGTTCTGAGGAACTTTCAGTCAATCAATGTTTATCTTGTGAAAATCATATAAAGGCAGATAAACTTCTCCTGAAAGATAACTTGCCCATTACTCTCAGTCATTCTCTGTCAGATGCAGCTGTAGGAAGAAATGCGATGTTAGGTGTGCCTCATATTCAGTTCCCAGTCAGTGGCTTACAAGCCATCTAGAACTATGGAGAGCAGCCTTTTAGAATCTACTTTATTTTTTACTAAAAGCCCCAAGATCCACCCACCCACCAGAGCCAGGTGCAAAGGCATACACATGAGTTAAAGAACAGGGTGTCTTTCAGCACATTCTGAGCCTAGGAATTTATTTTTGGTAACCAAACTGAACTCTCAATTCCTTTCACATAAATCCCCTCGTGGTTACCCCAAGCCTTGTTAATTTCTGCAGCTTAATTTAGATGAAAAAGATTCCAGCTGGTAAATTGCAGATCAGCCAGGGATCAACCAGTAGAACTCAATTTACATTCTGTTCATCTTGCCCAGAACATATCTCCAAGGCTCCCTTATAAAAGTTGCTATTATTTTAATGGAAGTTTAAAAGAAGTTTGAAAAAGATAGGCTTGAGATTTAAGTTCTTAATCAGGTCTGGAACCAACATCATCTGGCATCTTAGAGGCAAGCAACATTCCAGCACTGAAATCTGTCTTGCCTTCTCTCAGGTCTGCTGATTGCTAAACCACAGTTGTTATATACCATCCCTAGAGTACCCTTCCCTGAACAGATTTACTCCAGGTGTGATAGAATTGCAAAACCCAGAATGCCTAAATAGATTGACCACTGGCTTTGCTGGACAGATATCTGAAATTGTAATCGCAGCACATCAGGAGGGTGCCAGGTTGGGAAAAAGGTCTAGGCAAATCCCTTCATCTCAAAACAAATTGCCCTACAGATCATCAACTTTTTCAAAAAAAGATTATTGATCTTGTAATGCATCTTGATCATGCATTAAACAAATTGTTATTTAGATTTCAGGCAGCTTTTGATGGGCTTATCCCATGGAATAAGAATCAAGTAAATGGATATCTTTTCTTGGATTATTTTTTGGTGCTGTTAAGAATATGCACATAATGGTATTCTTCCATTTGTCTAATGTAGATCTTTGAAAGCTTGATTACTTCCACTCACAGAAGCTGGGCCAGTAATAGTATTATCTTAATTATCTTTGTGTCCCAAGTAAGAGAGGAAAATATGCCAGATTTCATTGCTTCAAATGCCCATTATTCCTGAAAACTCCACTCTTTAGAAAATAATCTGTGCCATTGGTTTTGTAAAACCATAGCCTTAAAGTACTCTTGTTCCCATAATTCTTATTTTTTCCGTTTTCCACCACGGTTACAGTCATCCAAGTTTTGCTTTCAAAATTTTATAGTACCCAAAAGGAGTGGTAAGAATGGCTATTATATTATTATACAGTAGCACTTGCTGCCTCTGAAGTACTGGACATTCTGTGGCTTATTGCCATTTTCTCCTACCCCCCTGCAGCTGAAGATCCATGGAAAAGTTATTATAAAGTAATCATCTTACATTTTAAATAATCTTCCCACACCTACGTATAAACTCTAATTAGAAAGCTATGTGTTTCAGAGGAAGCTTTCTAAAAGGGTTACCAAAAGATTTGCCAACCAGTTTTGCCTGAAATGGAGAAAGGGACATTTGATTTTAAGTGGTGGTGGAGTCATGTGAAAACTGTCCTATTTCTGCAGTCTGATTGCAATGATCAGATTGTACAGTACTTTACCCCTGCATATACTCATGACTTGCTCTTTAATGGAACTTGAAGATTGTACTAATTGAGTCTTAGCTCAATGAGTTATATTTCCGGAAGTAGGATTACCAAATAGATTCTGCAATCAGAAATGCTACAAAATAAGGTATGCTTCAAGTTAAGGAGCACTTTATAACCTTAATGTGGGCAACCTTATTAATGTCATCAGTCACATCCTGATTATGCATACAGATACACTGTGCTTTATTTTGCTTCCTTATATATCTCAAGATCTGAATACAGTAAGATTTTTTTAATCCCATAGAAATGAAACAGGCATTTTAAACAGTGCAGCTGATATGTTTAGGTTTAGACAATAGATTCATGTTTTGCTTAAATACAAGCCAAGTATCACAAAATGTTATGGTCATGTACAGAAATAGGATAAATTGACCCTTAAATCTGGGAAAGATGAAATGATCTTTTAGGCTATATACCTGCAAAGGTAGATTTTTAAAATAGTAGTTTCTACTATTGAGTCTAATGATCTATGTAACATGTCTGCTTCAAGCCGTTCCTATGTATATGCTTTGGTTTTAAGGAACATGGGTCATGGGCCAATCATCCGATAGGGTTGCTTTAGTGATGTGATGAAAGCAGCCTTAACCCCCCAGAAGATTACTTCAGTGACAAGTAATGTAGCATATAGTGATATCTCTTCTATCAGCATATCTTATGTATACATATCTTACATGTGTATAAATAATGTAGGGCTATTTATTCACTTTAAAATTTATATCCACACACTCCTGGCAAGGCTGCCAATGGCAGATGATGATGATGATGATGATGATGATGATGATGATGATGAAGAAGAAGAAGAAGAAGAAGAAGAAGAAGAAGAAGAAGAAG